GTCGTGGCTGGAGGTGCAGTGGTTGGTGTACAGGGAGAAGAGCAGGGGAGAAAGAACACAGCCCTGTGGGGCTCCTGTATTTATAATCCGAGAGTCCGAGACATTCTTCCCCAGACGCACTCGCTGCTTCCTGTCCGTCAGGAAGTCAGTGATCCACCTGCAGGTGGAATCGGGCACGTTGAGCTGGGAGAGCTTGTCCTGGAGCAGGGATGGCAGGATTGTGTTGAAGGCAGAGCTGAAGTCCACGAACAGGACCCTGGCGTAGGTCCCCGGGGAGTCCAGGTGCTGTAGGATGTGGTGGAGGGCCAGGTTAATGGCGTCGTCTACAGATCTGTTGGCTCTGTAGGCGAACTGCAGGGGGTCCAGGAGGGGGGAGGTGAGGGACTTGAGATGGGAGAGAACCAGGCGTTCAAATGACTTCATGACGACAGACGTAAGTGCTACAGGTCTGTAGTCATTGAGTCCTGTGATCCTGGGCTTCTTCGGGACGGGGACAATGATGGAGGATTTGAAGCAGGCCGGGACATGGCAGGACTGCAGAGAGGAGTTGAAAATGTCCGTGAACACAGGAGTAAGCTCACTGGCGCAGTGTCTCAGAGTGGCCGGAGACACGTGGTCCGGGCCAGGAGCTTTGCGGGGGTGCAGCCTCAGGAAGAGTTGTTTAATCTCTTTAGCGGCTATTGTTAGGCTGGGGGCAGGGCTGATGGGTGGGTCGTTAGAGTAGTGGGGGGTGGGGGAGGGAGAGGTGTCAGGGGCAGCATCAAAGCGACTGAAAAATAAGTTCAGATCGTCAGCTAGCTTGTGGTCATCAGCACAGGGGGGGGCTTTGGGTTTGTAGTTGGTGATCTCCCGTAGGCCCCTCCAGACAGAAGCAGTATCGTTGTTACCAAACTGCTCCTGTAGTCGTTCTCTGTGCCGGGACTTGGCTGCTTTCAGTTCTTTCCTGAACTGATATTTAGCTGCTTTGTAGCCGCTGCGGTCCCCCTCCCTGAAAGCAGACTCCTTTGCTTTCCTGAGCTGCCGGAGTTTAGCAGTGAACCAGGGTTTGTCGTTGTTATAGATGACCCTGGTCCTTGTTGGAATGATGCTATCCTCACAGAAGTGGATGTATGACGTCACAGTGTCCGTATATTCATCCAAGCTGTCTGTGGCAGCTCTGAAAAGGTCCCAGTCTGTAGATTCCATGCATGCGCGTAGCTCTTCCACAGCTTCATCAGACCACACTTTGGAGCTCCTCACTGCAGGTTTCGAGAGCTTTAGTCTCTGTCTGTAAGCAGGAACCAGATGTATCATGGAGTGATCTGAGAAGCCGAGGGCTGGCTTGGGAACAGCGCGAAAAGCTCCGCGCACGGTGGTGTAACAGTGATCCAGAGTGTTCTCCTCTCTGGTCGGGCATTTGATAAACTGTCTGTATTTGGGTAATTCCTGGCTCAAGTTTCCCTTATTAAAATCCCCCAGGATAATAATCAGAGAGTCCGGGTATAAGCGTTCCATACACAGTACTTGCTCTGCGAGTGCGCGCTGAGCCTCGCGCGCGTCCGCGCATGGCGGTATGTAAACAGAGGCAAGAATGAATGAAACAATTTCCCGCGGGGAGTAATATGGTTTACAATGAATGAAAAGATATTCCAGAGCAGGAGAGCAGTGCTTGGAGATCACTGTCACATCGTTACACCAGTTTGTATTGACGTAGAAACAGAGCCCTCCGCCTCTGCTCTTCCCTGAGAGCGCACAATGGCGATCCGCGCGAAACAGCCCAAAGCCCTGCAGCTCCAGAGCGCAGTCCGGGATCCGCTCATTTAGCCAGGTCTCAGTGAAGCAGAGGACACAGGATGTGGCGAAGTCCTTGTTTCTTCTCATGAGCAGGCTGAGTTCGTCCATCTTATTGCCCAGTGAGCGTACGTTGGAGAGAAAAATGCCGGGGAGAGCCGTGCGCGCTCCTCTCCTCCTAAGACGCACGAGCAGGCCTCCTCGCTTTCCCCTTTTACGGGCCCACACTTTTTTGGCTAGAACATGAACTAAATCAGCCGCAGATGCCAAGAAAACAGGCAATAGGTCCATGGGAACGGTGGGTCGGATGTTCATAAGTTCCTCACGGGTGTAGGAACAGCCAGATGCACAGTTAAAAAGTAAAAACAAAAGAAAAAGAGAGCAGCAAAGAGCCATGTCGACCGTACGAGGCGCCATCTTGAATCAATTATCTTAAATGTGTTGGTAATATTCATCTTTTTTCTTCTGCTTTCTGCTGACTAATGTGTTGCTAACATGGTTGCTAAGGCCAGCTGGAATTGCCCTTGTGAAATAAGGCAATTCTTAAAGGTATATAGGAGGATTTTCTACTTCCGGGTGGATCATCAAGACCTCCCATTTGTCAATCATTCTGGTGATATGTGCTCGTCAAATACGACCAGATGAGGCCAGAGAGAGACCAGAGAGAGACCAGAGGCTGAGGCCAGAGAGAGACCAGAGGCTGAGGCCAGAGAGAGACCAGAGAGAGACCAGAGACTGAGGCCAGAGAGAGACCAGAGGCTGAGGCCAGAGAGAGACTAGAGAGAGACCAGAGGCTGAGGCCAGAGAGAAACCAGAGAGAGACCATAGACTGAGAAGAGAGAGACCAGAGAGAGACCAGAGAGAGGCCAGAGAAAGACTAGATTCTGAGACCAGAGAGAGACCAAAGACTGAAGCCAGAGAGAATGCAGAGACTGAGGCCAGAGAGAGACCAGAGAGAGGCCAGAGAGAGACCAGAGAGAGACCAGAGAGAGTCCAGAGAGAGAGACCAGAGAGAGTCCAGAGAGAGGCCAGAGAGAGGCCAGAGAGAGACCAGAGAGAGACCAGAGAGAGGCTGAGGACTGAGTTTTGTTCAAAAAGTGGAGAGGGGGTGGTTCTTTCCTAAAATTTGGGAAAATTGTGCTATATACCTTAAGGCTCATATCCGAAAATACAAAGACAAGAGTAAACAAAGGAAAAACAGGATCACAGAGAGATAAAAATATACATATCCAGCTCTGACTGCCAATGCTCATTCATAAAGTGGTATAAAATATTGTACAAATGTTCTCAAAGCTCGTTCTCACCTCTGAAAGATTCATTATGAGTTTTTGATGATTTGCTGATTTTCTCATTTCAAGTTCAAACAAGTTCCGGAGAGGAGTTTAATTACCTGAGAACCAGACCGGCTCGCTGTGTGGGAAAAACAAGCCATCTGAGGACAAACGTTCATCTCGTCAGACTTTTGAAGCTAAGCAGGTTAAGGTCTGGTTAGTACTGTGATGGGAGACCTCTGCAAAGTGCCAAACTGTCATAAGGTCCTTATAGTCAAAACACTTCATCCACATTAGAATGAGTCTGGTGTGTGTGGGTGAATGGTTTGTGGTGGTCAGCAAGATCAATGGTTGCCTCACTTCTGTCAGTGTGCCCCAGGGCAGCCGTGGCTACCGTAGTAGTTTATCACCACCGTGTTTGGAGTGAATGAATGATGACATGTAATGCATCTTCGAGCGTCCATTATTGTGCATTTTATTTTATTATTGTGATGGCTGCATGACATGTGAGGCCGGGTCAGCAATATGCCTCAGTCGTCATTGTTCATTGCGCAGTCTGACAGCAGCAGGGAGACCAGTGGAACCTCTCCCTCACACAGCGAAGTTGAATGAGTGTGAAAACCCTGTTAGCAGTCTGCCTACATGCATCCCCCTCGTATGGACCCCTCGCTGACCCAGTCCCCTATAGACACCTCTCACTGCCTCCCCCCTCCTCTCCAACCACATCCCTCTCTGCTCTTTCCAATCTCCCTCGAGTTTCTCCGGCATCCTGGGATTGCAAAGACACAGAGAGATCTTTTCAGGGGAACTTAACTAGTGCTTAAATTAAATGTTCTTTGACGCCATGGAAACTGCGAACTGCATGAATGTAGTTTATTTTGCCTTGTTGTGTGCCCTTTGTCTGATTTATTCTCCTGTATTTGTTCTCTGGTCTCTCTCTGGACTATCTTTCTGGTGTCTCTCTCTCTGGACTATCTTTCTGGTGTCTCTCTCTCTGGACTATCTTTCTGGTGTCTCTCTCTCTGGACTCTCTCTCTGGTCTCTCACTCTCTGGTCTCTCTCTGGTCTCTTGCTGGACTCTCTCTCTGGTCTCTCTTGCTCTGGTCTCTCTTTGGACTATATCTGGACTCTCTTTGTGGTCTCTCTCTTTACAAGGTCTCTGTATCTGGGTGAGTTCCCTCCAGGCGCACCAGTTTCCCCCACAACCCAAATCATTAATTCAATTATAGACAGCTCTCACTGATGCAAACACGCCGCCTCCCCTCCTCTCCATCCACATCTCTCTCTCTCTGCTCTTTCCAATCTCCCTCGAGTATCTCACCTGGTCTCTCTTAACCAGGTCTCTCTCTGCACTATCTCTCTAATCTCTCTCTCTGGACTCTTTCTCTGGTCTCTCTCTGGTCTCTCTCTCTGGTCTCTCTCTGGTCTCTCTGGACTCTCTCTGGTCTCTCTCTGGTCTCTCTCTAGATGCTCTCTCTGATCTCTCTCTCTCTCTCTGGTCTCTCTCTTTCTGGTCTCTCTCTGGTCTCTCTCTGGACGCTCTCTCTGGTCTCTCTCTCTCTCTGGACTCTCTCTGGTCTCTCTGGACTCTCTCTGGTCTCTCTCTGGTCTCTCTCTGGATGCTCTCTCTGGTCTCTCTCTCTCTCTGGTCTCTCTCTGGTCTCTCTCTCTCTCTGGACTCTCTTTCGGGTCTCTCTCTTTCTGGTCTCTCTCTGGTCTCTCTCTGGACTCTCTCTACGAGGTCCCCCTATCTGAGTAAGTTCCCTCCGGGCGCACCAGTGTCATTCCGTACATTACAGACACCTCTCAACTCTTTTGGGTCGTTGCAAACACGTCACCTCCCCTCCACTCCATCCACATCTCTCTTTCCAATCTCCCTCGAGTCTCTCCGGCATCCTGGGACTGCTGAGACACAGAGCCATCTTTTCAGGGGAACTTCACCGGCGCTTAAATAAAACCATGGAAACTGCAAACCGCACGAACGCAGGCGAGTTTTCTAGGTATCCCAGTGCCCGGAATGGTTCAGACAGAGGTGGAAGTGATGGATAGGGCAGTTACAGAGCAGGCTTTCTAGTCTGGTGAATGCTAACGGCTACTTGAGGATGCTTTAGACACTGCGTAGATCACAAGAAAGAGACGAAGAAGAAAAGGTTTGGCCGGATCCGGGGGTTGACGGGGGCAACTGTCCGAGGAGTAGAAGTGACGGTCTGCAGGTTGACGGGGTTCAGAGGTAACAGGTTTCTCTTTATTTAGCTCTTTACTGCGGTCGGGTTTCAGTGCGTCATGTCTCTTTCCAGCTCTCACTGAGTCAACAGAAGGGAAGAGGTCCGCAGCGTGGGGCGGAAAACTCACACACGGCGCTGCTTTCTACAGACGACAGGAAGCTAGTCGTGTTAAAATATGTGTCATGTCTAAGGAGATAAGGCTGGAAACTATCAGTGCCTCTCCATGGCCTCGAAAGTACATCCAAGACATGTTAGTGGCATTTGAACTGGGACTCTGAGGAGCACAGGGACTGGTCTCCTGCTGGGACTCTGAGGAGCACAGGGACTGGTCTCCTGCTGGGACTCTGAGGAGCACAGGGACTGGTCTCCTGCTGGGACTCTGAGGAGCACTGTGACGGAGCGCCAGTGACTGCTCCGTCATGAACTGTGTGGTGCTCTCTCCCTGCGCTGAAGAGAGGAGCGCGTCTGCGTGCGTGTGGCGCGGCATGCCGGCAGGTCCGCGCTAGTAACCGCACGGCCCTGCATCAACACAAACTCTTCCCCTGCCAATACTATCCCCGTAGCGCACAAGGGTGCACACTTGCTGCCTACACACACATCTCATCTTCCCCCATACACAACTCACCTGCTGCTTGTCTCGGTCCACTGGCCAAACCGAGGCACTTCCTGGTCGCACCATATATAGCGCAGGGCGCGCGCATGTGACTGGCCAGAGGACTCTAATTTCTTAAAGTATTAAAAATGTGTTTTTTTTCCCTATTTGTGCATTGCTATATGGGGCAATGGAGAGGCATGTTCACACTGAGGAACAGGGAGGGAACTATGTGTGGGATTTCGTTGTTTTTCTGTTTAGAAGAAAAACCCCTGTTAATTTATTAATGGGTTAGCCCAGGGGCGGGGCTAACTAGTTAAAAGAGTGCGTGCTCACTCCGGAGTGTGGTCTGTCAGTCTGTGAGTGAGCTGGAGTGAGCTGGGCTGAAATCGAACCCAAACTGAGCTGGCTGTAAGTCCTGTTTTTGTGAGTCTGTTGTTTTTTTTTTTGCTGCACTGTAAATATTTTCCACTCTGCACTGGTTTGGTGTGAAAATAAAGTCACCACAATTCATTTTTCCGACTGAGCCATCATTATTCCCATCATTTTTAAACGAACCTTCACATTTGGTGTCAGGAGTGGGATGGCTAGTCGGCGTATGAAGACTTTTGCTAAGCGCACAGGACTGCGCTCAGGGAAGCTGGAAACAGTGCAGGATGACCCAGCCTGGGTCACAGACGAGGAAGACGCAGGGGGCGCTACTGCTCCTCTCCTTAAACAGCCAAGACCGGGAGAAGCCAGCGCGCAGGAGATGCTCGCCATGATGCGGTCTTTCATGGAGGGTCAGGAGCGGCGCGAAGACCGGTTCCTGGCGGAGCTCAGAGGATTGAGGGACTCGTTTCCAGTACCAGACTGTACCAGGTCGCCATCAGAGGGCACAGAAACGAGTATGAGACTGGATCTGCCTACTCCAGCACCCCGCAGACGCCGCAGTTCCGCCGAACCGCAGAGGCCCAGTTTGGGATCGGAGAGGGTGCGGTCCCGACCGGAAAGTCGACCCGCCGGGGACCCAAAGATTCCCCAGTACCTGGCCGGGGAGGACATTGAAAATTACCTCCTCCGATTCGAGAGGATTGCCAAAACCTGGGGTTGGCCAGAGTGTGAGTGGGCGTGTCGTTTGGTGCCACTACTCTCTGGGAAGGCACTCGAAGCGTACACCGCTATGGACGAGGAGCGGGCTCACACATATTCGGATCTTAAGGACGCTTTGCTCACAAAATTTGACATATCCCCAGAGACCTACAGACAGAAGTTCCGGACGGTGACGATTCCTGCTGGAGAGAACCCTGCGGAGACGTACCACCGCCTCAAGGGGCTCTACCGCCGATGGATCCGCCCGGAGCAGCACACGAAGGAGCAGATCGGAGAGCAGATCATCCTGGAGCAGCTTCTGCGTGTTTTCCCTGCAGATATCCGCACCTGGGTGAAGGAGCACGAGCCGACAGAGGGCCTAGCGGCGGCTAAACTAGCGCAGCAGTACCTCAACGCTCGGAGAGGAGGCCCGGCGCCTTACCAAGGTGGTCCCGGACGTCAGACTCCAGCACAGACCAGCTCTGCCAGAGTCCACACACAGCAGTCTCCAGACTCCAACCATGCAGCCAGCCAGCGCGGTCCCGGTAAGGACTTTGTGTGTTTTTATTGCCAGCAGTTGGGGCACAAAGCCTCTGTATGCCCAATAAGAAAAGCTAAATTGATTGGCGCATGTTACACACCCCGTGCAGAGGACTTAAGTGCTGTAGGCAGGCGTCAGCGCTTCAAAGAAGTCTCTATTAATGGAGATCCTGTGACTGCCCTGATTGACTCTGGGAGCTATATGACACTGATTCGGAGGGATTTAGTGCCAACGGGCCAGGTGGATTATAGCAGAAAGGAGGAAATTTTCTGTGTACACGGTGACAGACATTCTTACCCAACAGCAGAACTCACACTAGTGGTCAATGAGCAGCCCTATTTATTGACTGTGGGGGTGGTAGAAGGGTTACCTGTAGCAGCTATTTTGGGTTGGGATATACCTGTGCTGTTGGACATACTGCGGGAAGAGGGACCCAAGGACAGTGACTGTGGAAGGGGGTTTTCTGGACTGGTAATTACTCGTTCACAGGCTAAAGCGGGGGGTAAGCCAGTCCCAGTTCAGAGAGTACCAGAGCCTGAACTTGAGCCATTTTCCACATTGGACTCTAGTTTATTTGAAGGGGGAACAAAGGGGCCAAGAAAGTGTCGCAAGCAGCGGCGCTTCGAGAAAGGGCTAAAGCGGGCAGAGCCAAACTGTCAGGACTTTTTGTGGGAAGTTCCGGCGGACATTGGGGCAGTGCAAAGAGCAGACGCAACATTAAAATCACTGTTTGCGAAAGTGATTGGGGGACTAGATATGGCAAAGGGGGACAAGGATTGTTTTATTGTTGACAGTGCTATTTTGTATGCAGTGGCAGACGGTGTCAAGCGCCTCGTGGTGCCTGTGTCCTGCCGGCCAATGATTATGCACCTGGCACACACCTTGCCTTGGGCTGGTCATCTGGGCCGCAACAAAACCCATTTACGCATAGCCTCGAGGTTTTATTGGCCGTCTATGTATACAGATGTCCAAAACTACTGTAAATTCTGTCCTGTCTGCCAGAAAACTAGTTTTGTTCGCCAATCTGACCGTGCGTACCTCCAACCTATGCCTGTCATTTCCACCCCATTTCGCCGCATAGCAATGGACATTGTAGGGCCCTTAGTTCGGAGCAGTGGAGGCCACCAGTACATCCTGGTCCTCTGCGATTATGCCACACGGTTCCCCGAGGCGTTCCCCTTGCGCACCGTTACTGCCCCTGCTGTGCTGCGGTGTCTTGTTCAGTTGTTTTCCAGGGTTGGGGTCCCGGACGAGATTGTGACGGACCAGGGGACCAACTTCACCTCCCGCCTGATGCAGCTCTTCCACCGCCAGCTGGGAATCTCTGCGATCAAGACCACCCCGTACCACCCACAGACTGACGGTTTGGTCGAGAGGTTCAACCAGACGCTGAAGAGGATGCTGCAGAAATTCGTGGCCGATACCGGACGGGACTGGGACCAGTGGCTACCCTACCTGCTCTTCGCCTACCGAGAGGCACCCCAAGCCTCCACCGGTTTCTCCCCGTTCGAGCTGCTCTATGGATGGGATGTCCAGGGTCCGCTAGACCTGCTACTGAAGGCCTGGGAGGCTCCCGCCTCGACCACCAGCGATCGCCATATTGTCCAGTTTGTGTTGGAGATGCGTGATCGGCTGGCCAAGTATCGGGAGGAGGCGGAGGTCAACCTACGCGCTGCCCAGCGGTCCCAGAAGGCGTGGTACGACCAACAGGCCCGACATCGCGAGTTCCAGCCCGGTCAGAAGGTCCTGCTACTCCTGCCATCGTCCACCCACAAGCTTCTGGCGAAGTGGCAGGGGCCCTACTCTGTGGTCAGGAAGATGGGCCCTGTGACCTACGAGATCCACCACCCAGAGAAGAGGAAAGCGAAGCAGACCTACCACGTCAATCTGCTGAAGGAGTGGAAAGAGGCGGCAGTTCCAGCTTCCATGGCGTCCCTGCTGGTGACCGAGGTAGACAGTGACGGGGAGGAAGAATCTACGCTTTCCGACCTCCAGCGGCCTGCTGAACCAGCTCTGGGTCATCTCACCGCCACCCAGTCGACCCAGCTGTGTCAGGTTTTCCAGGGGGTCTCCAAGCTCTTCGCTGCCAGTCCAGGAAGGACTACCCTCGTCGAGCACGTCATCCGGCTGAAAGACAAAGGCCCAGTTCGCCAGAGGTCTTATCGGGTTCCCCGACATCTTGTCGCCCAGCTGTTGACGGAGGTGGAAGATATGCAGCGCCTTGGTGTGATCGAGCCATCCCAGGCAGAGTGGTGTAGTCCGGTGGTCATCGTCGTGAAGAAAGACGGGTCGCTCCGCATCTGCATCGACTTCCGGAAGCTCAACGCCATGTCAGAGTTCGACGCCTACCCGATGCCCCGGATAGACGACCTCCTGGAAAAGATTGGCCGGGCCCGGTTCATCACGACCCTCGACCTCTGCAAAGGTTACTGGCAGGTGCCACTAGAAGTGACCAGTCGTCCCTACACGGCGTTCCAGACCCCTGCTGGCCTCTTCCAGTTCACAATGATGCCATCGGTCTCCATGGAGCACCCGCCACATTCCAGAGACTGATGGACCGTGTGCTCAGGGGCTGTGAGGACTGCAGTGCTGCGTACCTGGACGACGTGGTCATCTTCAGCGACACCTGGGAACAGCACCTGCGTCATCTGGAGAGAGTCCTCGGCCAGATAGAGCGGGCGGGACTGACACTTAACCCGTCAAAGTGTCAGTGGGCCAAAGAAGAGGCTAAGTATCTCGGCTACCGGCTGGGGCGAGGAGAAGTCCGACCACAGATGGACAAAGTAGAGGCCATCCGCAGCTGTCCACGCCCTCGCACAAAGAAGGAGGTGAGGTCCTTCTTGGGCTTGGCCGGCTGGTATCGTCGGTTCGTCCCACAGTTCGCCACCATCGCAGCTCCACTGACCGCGCTGACGATGAAGGACCAGAGGAACCCGGTCGTCTGGAACGAGGACTGCGAGACAGCCTTCCAGGCCCTCAAATCCTGCCTCTGCTCATCGCCGGTGCTGCGGAGCCCCGACTTTGAACAGCGGTTCCTGGTCCAGACTGACGCTTCTGCCGTGGGACTAGGAGCGGTCCTGGCTCAAGGGGACCCTGGAGAAGAACGTCCTGTACGGTACCTGAGCCGGAAGCTGCTGCCGCGAGAGACCAGGTACTCTACCGTGGAGAAGGAGGGCCTGGCCATCAAGTGGGCTCTGGAGAGCCTGCAGTACTACCTGCTGGGAAGAGAGTTCGACCTCGAGACGGACCACCGGGCGCTGACTTGGATGAATTCCATGAAGGACCATAACAGTCGTCTCACCCGCTGGTACCTCTCCCTCCAGCCGTTCCAGTTCCAGATCCGCCATCGAGCTGGGAAGACCAATGTCGTGGCAGACTACCTGTCCAGGTTGCCGCACATCGTCAACCTCGAGGAGGAGGGGGATAATGTGACGGAGCGCCAGTGACTGCTCCGTCATGAACTGTGTGGTGCTCTCTCCCTGCGCTGAAGAGAGGAGCGCGTCTGCGTGCGTGTGGCGCGGCATGCCGGCAGGTCCGCGCTAGTAACCGCACGGCCCTGCATCAACACAAACTCTTCCCCTGCCAATACTATCCCCGTAGCGCACAAGGGTGCACACTTGCTGCCTACACACACATCTCATCTTCCCCCATACACAACTCACCTGCTGCTTGTCTCGGTCCACTGGCCAAACCGAGGCACTTCCTGGTCGCACCATATATAGCGCAGGGCGCACGCATGTGACTGGCCAGAGGACTCTAATTTCTTAAAGTATTAAAAATGTGTTTTTTTTCCCTATTTGTGCATTGCTATATGGGGCAATGGAGAGGCATGTTCACACTGAGGAACAGGGAGGGAACTATGTGTGGGATTTCGTTTTTCTGTTTAGAAGAAAAACCCCTGTTAATTTATTAATGGGTTAGCCCAGGGGCGGGGCTAACTAGTTAAAAGAGTGCGTGCTCACTCCGGAGTGTGGTCTGTCAGTCTGTGAGTGAGCTGGAGTGAGCTGGGCTGAAATCGAACCCAAACTGAGCTGGCTGTAAGTCCTGTTTTTGTGAGTCTGTTGTTTTTTTTTTTTGCTGCACTGTAAATATTTTCCACTCTGCACTGGTTTGGTGTGAAAATAAAGTCACCACAATTCATTTTTCCGACTGAGCCATCATTATTCCCATCATTTTTAAACGAACCTTCACAAGCACAGGGACTGGCCTCCTGCTGGGACTCTGAGGAGCACAGGGACTGGTCTCCTGCTGGGACTCTGAGGAGCACAGGGACTGGTCTCCTGCTGGGACTCTGAGGAGCACAGGGACTGGTCTCCTGCTGGGACTCTGAGGAGCACAGGGACTGGTCTCCTGCTGGGACTCTGAGGAGCAGGACTCTATCTGGACTCTCCCTGATCTCACTCTGGACTCACTCTCTGGTATCTCACTACAGACTCACTCCCTGGTCTCTCTCTCTAGACTCACTCTTTGGTCTCTCTCTAGACTCACTCTCTGGTCCCCTCTCTCTGGACTCTCTCTCTCTGGTCTCTCTCTCTAGACTCACTCTCTGGTCTCTCTCTCTAATCACTCTCTGGTCTCTCTTTCTAGACTCACTCTCTGGTCTCTCTCTGGTCCCTCTCTCTGGACTCACTCTCTGGTCTCTCTTTCTAGACTCACTTTCTGGTCTCTCTCTCTAGACTTACTCTCTGGTCTCTCTCTCTAGACACTCTCTGGTCTCTCTCTAGACTCACTCTCTAGTCTTTCTCTCAGGATTCATTCTCAGGTCTCTCTCTCTGGACTCACTCTCTGGTCGCTCTCTCTGAACTCACTCTCTGGTCTCTCTCTAGACTCACTCTCTGGTCTCTCTCTAGACTCACTCTCTGGTCTCTCTCTCTAGACACTCTCTGGTCTCTCTCTAGACTCACTCTTACTCTCAGGATTCATTCTCAGGTCTCTCTCTCTGGACTCACTCTCTGGTCTCTCTCTCTGAACTCACTCTCTGGTCTCTCTCTGGTCTCTCTCTCTGAACTCACTCTCTGGTCTCTCTCTCTAGACTCACTCTCTGGTCTCTCTCTGGACTCACTCTCTAGACTCACTCTCTGGTCTCTCCCTCTAAAGGGTCCCTGTGTCTGGGTGGGTTTCCTCCGAGTGCTCCAGTTTCCCCCACCACCCAAAACAGTCAGTAAATACACTGGATATTTGACTCTCCAAACCGTCAATTAGTGACTCACAGGGCTCACAGTACACACAAGACAACATGTCCTAACTGAACACACAGTTATTTTTGGAGGTGACGGTGTGTATTCATGAAAAGCAGGAGGTGTAAACGTTATGTATGTTATGTGTATTTCACTCCTTGCCGCGCGACTATAGTTTCTGTAAGGCCAACTGCCACATTTACAGTATTATTAATCAGTCCCTTTTATTTTCAATGTATTTTTATATTGCCCTAAATCACAACAGTAGTTTTCTTGGAGGACTAATGTGTGCTGTCCCCATTCAAATAAACTAATAACATAGATTACACATTTACAAATGTCTTTTAAACATGTACATGTATTGTTATATGCATTTACAATAAACAGAAAGTTATGTGAGTAATAATACACAAAATTTACCAGAAATTACCACTCCCTCTCAATACAAACATAAGCAGTTGTGATATTTTATACAAACATGACATTTACACAACGTTGTTTATCAATACAAGAATCTGGCAACTGGATTCAGAACTACATGATTACTACGTGAATTGGATTAGGCAAAAATCTGTTCTAATTCAGCCTAATCCCTTCGGTCATGAATGCGTTTGTATATCTATGTAAAAGTATGTGCATTAACAGACATAAGCTTTATGGTTTTTGTAACATTGTCCTTTTTTATTTCATTTTTTAAGTCAAAAAATGTGTATGACAGAATAAACAAACTTACTACTACTGTTATAGCACATAAAAACAGATTAAAAAACATGTCTTTGAAAATGGTCTGATTTCCTCACAAGACTTTTTTCTTTTAGATAAGCTTCCCTTTTACTATGATCCAACTTTCCAAATTCTAAAAACTGGTTCTCACACGAAGGTAAAGATTCCCTGATGTTTTGCTCCTCACAGTGCACCAAGTTCACATCTGTTTTCCCAACGCACATTTTTTTGTCATTGGCAGAAGCAAGAAGCACCTGCGCAAGACTCAGGCAGTTATTTTAGTAAGACAGAGAGTGTAAAGAAGCTATTACTGCAACGTCACCGACAAAATCCTGTGTAGTGCCTGCAATAAAGCACACGTCGGAGAAACAGGAAGAGCTTTCAACCCCAGAACATCGGAAAGAATGCGAAAAAGAAACGGCAAACGAAAGGAAAAAGCGACACGGGAAAACCTCAAATTAGCAACATCTGAGCACTGCAGAAGAGAAAGTCATAAATTGGACCGGGACAATGCAAAAGTGGAAGGAACGGAAGAATTTGAATACAAAATATGGATACGGGAGGTGATTGAGATCAGGAAGCAGGGCACAACATCAACCGAGACGAGGGGGCCTACACCTTGGCTCACACCTGGGACTAAGGACTCACTTACTACTTACTTTACGCACTGAGGCTTTTTAACTCAAGCAAAACTGAAACTTTTATGATAGTGACCATTATTTTATGTGTTCTGTAATGTCTGGAAAGCCCTTTGGAAAAGTCTTGTCTGTTATCTAAATGTGCTATATTAATAAACTCGACCTTGACATAACTATTTGGAGGTATTCCAAGTTGTATTCTGTAGTTTTATGAAATTGTATGTGACTGTTTTTATAATCTGTAATCGAATGTAAGTGTATGTAACTTTTGTCCAGGACTCCCTTGAAAAAGAGGTTCTTAATCTCAATGGGACTTTCCTGGTTAAATAAAAAATTATATTAAAAAAGGGGAAAAAAACGTAAGATTATTTGATTTGAATAAAACTAAAAGCCTTGTGAGGGTCTAACTAAAAGGACAGTGGTGATGATCCAATATCAATGCGTTTTCTTTTTTATTTCTTGTGTTTGAACGGTTTGATTCTCCGATCTGTGTTGGCGAATTCAGGGGTTTTGTAAAGTCCAACTGTTGTGATTTAGGGCTTTACAAGAACGAGTTGTCCATTGAAACTTTGTCCATTGATTTAAAGCTCTGGAGGTTCTAGTACTTTCAGGATTATGCAAATGCCGAGTCTTGAACCTCGAGAACACATAATGAGCTTTGAATAGAGACGATTCTCCCACACGCTGCTTTAGTATTGACTTTAAAATGCTGCTTCTGGTTTTTAAATGTCTTGATGGTCTGGCCCCAGCCTACCTGTCCGGGCTGCTGTCCCCTCACACTCCCTCCCTCCAGACAGATAAGGTCCAACTTCTGCTTAACCCTTTAACAGTTTCTTCAACCATTTGATAGCTCAGCTTTTGAGTCAGTATATCTACTTTAAACTGAAATATTCTTCTTTGGATCGTCTCACTTGGTTTTGGGAACGTTTTCGGGTCAAACTGCCTCTTAAACCATTTGATAAAGGCCTATAGTTTAATGTTTTTGTTTTGTTATCATTGCTCTGATACAGAAAAAAATGACATTGCTTTCTTCAAGGAGTGAATGTTAAAGGGTTCACATACCGAAATCACGGCTGAAAACGAGAGGCCCTCTGTGTAGCTGCTCCTAAACTCTGGAAGTAAGTAAGTAATGTTTATTTATATAGCGCATTTTACAGACCAAGGTCACCCAAAGCGCTACACAATGTGCAGAGTTCAGATATTGTTCCAATCATTCCAGACACGGTGATGACAGAAGCGAGTCCAGAACACACTGGACCATCAGCTCCAATCAACACCATCCATTCTCTCTGCTTCCTGCTGCCAAAATGCCGCCACCAGTGCCTAGGTCCCGGGGGATTGTGCGCGCTCTATCGCAGGAGCCTCTCCGACTGAAGGCCGCACCGGGGCCTAGGGCGCCAAACCACCTCTCATTAAAATACTCAAAAGCATTCTCGCTTTCTCGTCTCTCCAAATTGAAATTCACATTCATACTATTGTGCTTGTTTTTAGTGGTAGGGAAAACCGGAGTACCCGGAGGAAACCTACACACTGGGAGAACATGCAAACTCCACTCAGAAAGGCCCTGTTCTGACCGGGCTAACCACTCAGCCACCGTGCCGCACTGGAACTCCCTTTGAGGCGCTGCACTGCTGTAATGTTCTGTTCATACTGTTGTTGTACGTGTGCTATAGACATAAATTTGACATTGACGTTGATTCAGCATTGTCCTATCTCCTCCTCGCTAAACCTTTACACATCTTCAAATCAGCCCAAAGTGGCGACATATTTTTAGCCCAGAGAGGTGTCAGAGGAGACGTCTCTGCTACAGTTTTCAAACGGCACACGGCAAGTTATTCCTGGAGCCTGAGAGTTTCCGCGGACGCCGCAGGTTACTCCGGAGATGTGCGAGACGTGTTGAAGAAATAT